GACATGTCAAAATCCGTCGAACATCTTCGGCACATCAAGGTTGTTGGCCATTTCTGGCCTTCCTGGAGGCCCTCTTGGGGGCCTCTTGGGCCGTCTTGGGCCAGCTTCGAGCCAACTTCGGCCATCTTGGTGGGTTCCTGGCACGTCTGACGCCGTCGGGAGCCGTCTTGGGGGCCTTTCTGGGCCAACGGGGGACCCTCTTGGGGCGCTTCGGGGCCGTCTTGGGGGCCATCTTGGGCGTCTTGGAGGCCATCTTGGGCGTGTTGGAGGCCTCTTCGGCCGTCTTGGGGCCCTCTTGGGGCCATCTTGGAGGCCACTTGGGCCGCAATGGGGCCCTCTTGGGGGCCTCTTGGGAGATCTTGGGGGCCTCTTGGGCCGTCTTGAGCCGTCGGAATGCCGAGAAGAAGCACATTCCGAAATCCATCAAAAACCAAAGGAAAATCAATGATTTGACCTCTTCGGGCCCTCCTGGAGGACCTCTTGGAGGCCTCTTGGGCCGTCTGGGAGGTCTCTGGGGGGCCTCTTGGGCCTTCTTGGGCCGTCTTGGACTCTCTTGGGCCGTCTTGGAGGCATCTTAAAGCCATCTTAGCCGTCTTGGAGGCCATCCTGGCCGTCTTGGAGGCATCTTGGAGGCCATCTTGGAGCCGTCTTGGGCATGAAATTGGGGAATTGAGGTCCTTGGCAATCCTACCGGAACCCCGGCGGGACGCGCCGGATCCCCAGGGGGAGTTTTTTTTTGGAAAAAGAGCCAAAACCAAGAGCCAGATGGTCTGGCACGCCAGGCACCCCTTTGCTAAAGCAAAAGGGGGCGGCGGATCCTAGTGGCCTTCGGCCCATCCCGCCGCCCTGCCTGAGTTGTGGGTCTGCTGCCTCTTGTATATGTGTTGGGGTGTCGTGGGGAGCCCCAAGAGGGCCTCTTGGAGTTGGTTTCGGCGCCTCCTGGGGGCTTCTTGGGGCATCGTGGGGTATCTTTTGGGCCTCTTGGTGGCCTCTTGGGTGCGTCTTGGGCGCCTCTTGGGGCCTCTTGTGGCCTCTCGGCGGCCTCTTGGGGCTTCCTGGGTTTTTTTTTCGGGGCACGGATATCGAATGTTCGGTTCGTGGTCCTCTGCTTGGGCCTCTCTTGGGGCCGTCTCGGGGCCCTCTTGGGCCGTCTTGAGCGTTTCTTGTGCTATCTTGGAGCCCTCTTGGGCCGTCTTGGGGCCCTCTTGGAGGCGTCTTGGCCCTTTTTGGGGCGGCCTTGGGAGCTTCTTGAGTCGTCTTGGAGCGTCAGAAAGCCGAAACTGCGAGAAGGCCAACATCCTTCAAAAACGTTCGTAACATCTACGGTTTTGGCGTCTTGGGGCTCTCTCGGGAGGCCTCTCGGAGCGCTCTTGGCGCCTCTTTGGGCCCGCTTGGGCCGTTTCGGAACTATCTTCGGGCGCCTTGGAACACTCTTGGCCCTGGCAATTCGAATACGGTGTAATCTGCGAAGGTGTATGGCTTCGGGGACCCGCGTACTGCGTAGGTCACGAGGGTTTGTTGTTTCGGGGGCGCAACACTTGCGTAACGTATGAGGTGCGTTTCCCTCGGGGACGCGAACATTGCTTAACTACCTTTTGACGTACCCAACCCACTAGCATCAAGTGGCAAGAGGAGTTGGCCCAAACTTGCCAGGACAATGACCGTGCAGGCGCCGTTATATGTTGTGCTGTGCAAAACTACATGGGATGCGGTCACGTGGCGCGATTCACAGGACAACAGCAGAAGGACGAGGAGCGAGCGCCCAGGCTTGAGGAGGACATGGGGGCGGGAACGAAGGGCAGGACATGGACGCGCGGGGGGCCGACCCGTAAGCGCGGCAGCAGCAGAGGGAAGGTTGCAGGGGGCAGAGGACGACGACGCAAGTTACGGGAGGAGACCGAAGAGTGTTGCTTTTGTCGTCAGTGCGCTAGAGATGCAGCGCTGCCTGCGCCATGTCGCCGCGGCGCTCGACAAACTGATTAAAGCTGCTTATAAGTAGTGCAAGCAACGAGCGAAGCCTAGCTCGCCCGCCAGCTTCCCTGCTTCTTTCCCGCACTCTTCAGTGCGGGGGCTGAACGCTCGAAGGCGCGCCGCCAGATCTGCGGGGGGTCCGCGACGGCGCCCCGCTGGATCCCCCTGCAGCCTTCGAAAGTGACGACCGTTTCGCACATCGCAGCCCGCCCGGGATGGCGAGGTCTAGTCTGAGTCTGGGCGGTGCCTCACCCAGCTGAACCTCCCAGCAGCCATCGAAAGTGGTGACGGTTTCGCAGATCGCAGCACCCCAGGGATGGCGAGGTCTAATCTGAGTCATGGTGGTGCCTCACCCCGCTGAACATCCCAGCAGCCATCGAAAGTGGCGACAGTTTTGCACATCGCAGCCCCCCCTGGGATGGCGAGGTCCAGTCTTGGTTTGGGTGGTGCTTCACTCCGCTGCACCCTCCAGCAACCATCGAAAGTGGTGACAGCATCGCACATCGCAGCGCTCCAGGGACGGCGAGGTCCAATCAGAGTGTGTCTGCTGCTTCATTCCGCTGGCCCCCCCAAGCAAACCTCGAACGTGGCGACCGTTTCGCAGATCGCAGCCCCCCAGGGATGGCGAGGTCTAATCTGAATCCGCGGCGGGTGCTGCCCACTATGCTGGTCCCCCCAACAACCTTCGCAAGTGGCGACCGTCTCGCACGTCGCAGCCCCCCAGGGACGGCGAGGTTTAATCTTAATCAGCGGCGGGTTCCCACTATGCTGGCCCCCCCGGCAGCCCTCGAAAGTGGCGACAGTTTCGCATATCGCAGCCTCCCAGGGATGGCGAGGTCTAATCCGAATCCGCGGCGGGCGCCCGCAATGCTAGTCCCCCCAAGCTCCTTCGAAAGTGGCGACAGTTTCGCACATCGCAGCCTTCCAGGGATGGCGAGGTGTAATTTGAGCCAGGGTGGTGCCTGACCCCGCTGCACCCTGCAGCGACCATCGAAAATGGTGACAGTTTCGCAATGCGCAGCCCCCCAGGGATGGCGAGGTTCAATTTGAGTGTGTGTGGTGCTTCATTCCGATGGACTACCCAGCAACCCTCGAACGTCGCGACCGTTTCGCACATCGCAACCCCCCAAGGATGGCGAGCTATAGTCTGAGTCAGCGGCGGGTACCCATTATGCTAGTCCCGTTGGCAAGCCCCAAACGTTGCGACAGCTTCGCAAATCCCCCCCCCCTTCCCGGAACGGCGAGGTCTACGATGAATCCGCGGCGGGTACCCAGCATGCTGGCCCCCAGCAGCCCTCGAAAATGGCGACGGCTTCGCACATCGCAGCCATCTAGGGATGGCGAGGTCTAATATGAATCCGCGGCGGGTGCCCACTATGGTGGCCCTCCCAACAACCCTCGCAAGTGGCGACCGTTTCGCACGTCGCAGCCCTCTAGGGATGGCGAGGTCATAATCCGAATCCGCGGCGGGTGCCCAGTACGCTCGCCCCCCCAGCAGCCCTCGAAAGTGGCGACAGTTTTGCACATCCCAGCCCCCCAGGGATGGCGAGGTCTAATCCGAATCCGCGGTGGGTGCCCTCTATGCTGGTCCCCCCAGCAGCCGTTGAAAGTGGCGACAGTTTCGCAAATCGCATCCCCCCAGGGATGGCGAGGTCTAATTTGAATCCGCGGCGGGTACTCACTATGCTGTTCCCCCCGGCAGCCGTTGAAAGTGGCGACAGTTTCGCAGATCGCCGCTCCCAAGGCACGCCACCTTCACATTTTGCAGGCCCCACAGGCAAACCAGCAGGCGCACAGGAGATGAGAGGAAAAGGGAGGCGAGGAGAAGGACGAGACGACGGGGGATTACGTGCCTGGGCCAGGCTCAACCTCCAAAAAGGTCGCCGCTGAAGGCCGGGACAAGCTGCACGAACCCCATAGCAGTCCCAGTGATCACCTTGAATCTCGTGTTCATGGGGTTCTCCGGCACTCATACGTGTGGAACAGCCCTGGGGGCCATCCAGCTAGAAGTACATCGTTTTAAGCTCTTGCTCGATCTAGGTGCTTGAGCGGAGGAGGGGGAGGGAGTTGAGGAGGAGGATGAAGGCGGGAAGAGGGCGAAATATTTGAGTTTGTTTTGTGTTGAGTGGCACACTTCTTTCTGGATGTAGTGGTGTCGGTATACACTTGTCGTTCCTTTTCTCAGACTCTCAGACTTCTATTGGGAAGGCCTAGCGGCCGGTGCCGCCGACCCTGAAGGGGACGGCGACGATGACGGCGGCGGCGGCGGCAGCGGCGACGACGACGACGCTGGAGCTTTTCTCGCGGCTCTCTTGGGAGCCTCTTGGGCTCTGTTGCGGCTTGGGCTGGGGCCGCGGCTGGGGCCAGGGCCAGGGCTGGGGCTGGGGCCGAGGCCGAGGCTGGGGCCACGACTGGGGCTGGGGCCAGGGGCCGGGGGCCAGGGCCGGGGCTGGGGCGCCGGGGCCGGGACACGGGCTGCGGCCCCCTGCAGGCTGGGGCGTGGGCCGGGGCCGGGGCCGGAGCGGGGGCCCGGGGCGCGGGGGGAAAATGTATATTTGAGTGGCGATTCCTCTGGGACCTCCCTGCTATGGGACCCCCCCCTGGGACCCTCCCCGGGACCTCCCCGTCCCCGGGACCCCCCCAGAACCCCACAGGGACCCCTTCCCCCGGCGCGGGGAAAGGATCAAAGTGAAGGGGCTTCCCTTCGATTCCACTCCGATGTTGTTCAAATTTGCTTCGGACGGCGCATATGAGGAAGAGGGCCCAGGCAAATGGAACAGAGGAGGACGGCGACGACGACTCCAACGGAAAAGCCCGACTCGAACGGAAAAGCCCCTCACACATGCCGACAGGGTCGTCGGACGGTCCATGGAACTGTGCCAGCAGGCGCTTTTCTGATGGCTTGTGCCGTTCAGTGCGCCAGCGCTTGGTCCAGTGATGAAGCGTGCTGGTGCGGTGATGCTGCTGGCGTGCTTGTGTGAATTTAAGCGCCAGTCATGAGGATGCACGGCCGCCACTCGCCGCGAAAGGCGACGGAGCGGGAGCAGCATGAGGGCGCCCTGACCGCGCCCTGAGGCGGCCGGGCTCGACGCGGTATGAGCCTGCGGCTCGGGTCCTCGTCATCGTCCATCTCGGCATTTTGCTCGCCTTTTCGGCGGTTCTGACGCCGAGGAGGAGGAGGAGGAGGAGGAGGAGGAGGAGGAGGAGGAGAAGGAGGAGGAGGAGGAGGAGGAAGCGGATTTGCCTCCGCTCCTCCGCCGTTGCCACCGCCTCATTCTTCTCCTCTTCCTCCCCCCTGCACAGTACACATGCTGCACATGTTTTTGGTACTTCTACTTTCAGTTTCCTTCCTGCAAGGTGCTCTACACCTCTTCATAGAAGGGAGGGGGGTCACAAGCTTCCCAGACGTGCAATTTTGGAATCCCCTCAGACCAGCCATGAACGGGCGGCCTTTTGCCCAAGACCCCCCTGGACTCCTCCAAGACCGCTCACATCAGACCCCCCCCAATCAGACCCCGTCCCTTCTTTACGTCCAACTTCGTGCCCCCTCCTCACAGTCCTGGCCCCGCTCGGGGACCCGACGAGCCCGGCCCAGGGCCTCTCACCGGGCGGCCCGTGTTGTCCAGGCGCGCGCCCGCCGGGCTGGCGGAGGCCTCGCGGCAGGCACGCGGTCGTCGCCAAAAGCGCGCTTGGGCCAGCGTGCGCCCGGTGTTCGAGTAGGTGATCGATTGCAGAGTCGATTTAGCCCACAACTGCTTTGTTCGTCGATTCTACGAAACATTTTGCCCACAACTGATTTGTTTGTCGATTCTACGAAACATACGTCGAATGCTCGTAGATCTACATCCATCAAGCGTGTTTTTCTCGTAGATTCGAGGAACATTTCAAGTTTGGGGTAAGTCAACTTTGTAGTCGATCCCCTACCCGCGGTGTGCCTGGAGTCCCTATGGTGTCCTTGGCGCTTCCGTGCGGCAGGTTCCTGTCGTGGAGACCGTCTTTTTCGGGTCCGGCGATGACCCAGGTTACACGGCGGTCGTTGAACGTAGGTATTTCTGGATTCCCATGCCCCAATCTGCTTCAGGCGCCTTCCTGCTTCAAGAGTCGATGAGCTTTTGCTGTGTTTTGCTTCTTTCTGGGAGGGCCTGAACCCAATCTATTTTATCCGCCTTCCTAATTCATTTTCTTACCTACTTCTTCCGACCGACGTGTATCGGGCCCGCTCGCCTCCCCCCCGATGACCTGACCTTGTCGGTTGCGCATGTCCGAAGGGAGTGCGCAGTTTTGGTGCGCGGCGCGGGCCTACGTGAGGCTGCCTGAAGCGAAGAGGTTTGAGTATTGGCCAGCACCTCCCCCCTCCCTTCCGGATAACGATCCCCCGTCGCCGCGGCGAAGATCCCAATTCGGCCGTTCGCGTTCAAGGTTGAGCGCCACCAGTGGCACAGAATCGGCCGACATCGACCGACCTGAGCTATCGGGAAGTCGCGGTGGTTCTCCGAGGCAGGAATCTATCCATAACCGCCGTCTGGGGGTTTGACCTCTGGGGACGTCGGCGGGCGGTGGGTATGGATATGTTCGTGCCCTGGAGAGGCCAAATATGTCCATATCCACCGCCCGCCGGGGTCCCAGGACGTCCGTTCCACGGGCCGTGGATATGCATATATGGTCGAGGGTTTGGGCCCCCCCCCTCCCCAATGCCAATGCCATCGGCCCCCCCCCCCCGCGCGATGCCCCCCCCCTCTGTGGGCGTGGGCGTGGCGTGGTGGCTCCCCCCCATCTGTGGATGTGGTGTGGGTGTGGTGTGTTGCTGTGGGTGTGTGCGGGGTGACGCCATGGTCCTCCTCCCCCCCTCCCTCCCCCTGTGGGTGCGGTGTGGGTGCGGCGTGTGGCTGGGATTGGCGTCATGTTGATAGCTCCGGTGCTCGACGTCGTCGCCGCCGCCGCTGGTGGTGCCGTCGACGTCGTCGTCGTTGTCGTCGTCGTAGTCATCGTCGTCGTCGGTGTCGTCGTCGTCGTCGTCGTCGTCGTCGTCGTCGTCGTGGTCGTCGTCGTCGTCGTCGTCGTCGTCATCGCCGTCGTCGTCGTCGTCGTCCTCCTCCTCCTCCTCCTCCTCCTCCTCCTCCTCCTCCTCCTCCTCCTCCTCCTCCTCCTCCTCCTCCTCCTCCCCCCCCCATCCCATCTGTGGGGGGTGGGGGCCGAGGGCCCTGGGACCCATCCCATCTGGGGGGGAGGGGCCCGAGGACCCGGAGCCCGCGATCATATATTCCCGCCTCGCAGGTTCAGTGTTGAACGTTCCACGCGGTGTCGGCCACCAGCGCGCATGTCGTCACGTTACAATTTTTGCTAGTTGCGGGGCGTTGTGAGCAGGGCACGGCTGCCATCCTCAGGGCGTTTTTGCAGGGCGTCGCTGCCAACCAGTAGGGCATGCACAGCCGCCGCAGTCAGGACTCGAGGAACGCCCGATGGCTTGAAGGGGGCCTGAAGGAAGGGGAGCCCCAATCGAGCCACGCATGCTTGGGCGATCTTGGTTATGTTCGGGATTCCGCCGGAAGGAAGTGCCCTCGCCGACCCTGGGCTTCCCCTCCTTCTTTGGTCTGTTATGATTTCCCTGTCCGTTGCCCGATGCAGGGAACCATCGAGGAGGCGGGAGGGAGAGGAGGAAAGGGCAAGATGGAAGGAGGAGGAGGAGGCGGAGACGGAGGCGAAGACGGAGGAGGCGGAGAAGGAGGAGGAGGAGCAGAACAATAATAATGATGAGGGCGCGGAGTAGACTGACGCAACGACACGTGCGGAGGGTGAGAAAGCGACGGCATGGTCTTCAGATCGAGCGACGACGAAATCTACATTGTACACATCCCCCTCCCCTGGCCATGCCCATCCTGGGCCCAGGATCGGTGTTCATGCCTCCTTGGTCAAACCAGGTGGGCGTGTGTACCGCTCCTGGGTCCAGGATGGGCCAGAGCCTGGTCAGGGGCGGTGGGCACACACACATCTCTCTCTCTATATGTATAGATGTGTATATGTGTATATGTGTATATCTATATCTATATCTATATCTATATCTCTATATATATATATCTATATCTATATCTATATCTATATATATATATATATATATATATATATATATATATATATATATATCTATATCTATAATCTATATCTATATCTCTATATATATACACCTATACCTATATCTATATCTATATCTATATCTATATATATATATACATATCTATATCTATATATATATATATATATATATATAGATCCCCGTCCAAGAGGCTGGGGCGCCCGGGACCGCAACCTCGGGTGGGCATGGGGGTTCGGGGCCCCCGTGCACGAGGCCTGGGCGCCCGGGACCGCGACTTCGACGGGGCATAGGGGGTTCCGGGGCCCCCGTGCACGAGACCGGGGCGCCCGGGACCGCGACCTCGGGTGCGCATGGGGGTTCGGGGCTCTTGGGGCGCTCCCGGGACGTTCCTGGAGGCGCCAAACCGCCCCAGAGAGGCCCAGGACGCTCCCAGAAGTGTGGGAGCCTCCAAAAGCATCCCCAGGAAAGTTTCGATGGCTCCAACGTGGCCAAAGATGGGCCCAAGACGGCAAACAGACCGCCCTATAGATTATGAAACGGCCACAACCGAGCTCCGAGAGGCGTTCCACGATGGCCTCACGAGGCCAACATCGTTGATTTTCATAGTTTTTCCCCATATCCTAAGATGGGGTTCTTGTTATTACTTGAACGCCTCCTACTCCTTCTCCTTCCTCCTCCTCTTTTCTCCTCCCCTCCTGTCGGACATACTCAGACTTGCTCATACACAGACTTACTCATACTCAGACTTACTCATACTCAGACCTACTCATACTCAGACTTACTCACACTCAGACATACTCATATACAGACTTACTCATACACAGACTTACTCATACACAGTATTAGTCATACCCAGACGTACACATACACAGACTTACTCATACACAGACTTACTCATACTCAGCACCCCTAAGGGGAGCCGCCAGGGGTGGTTGCACGGGCTCGTTCGCGGCCATTTTGTGGGGATGTCTCAGGCGGTTTGCCTGTTTCTGTGCCCAACATCCTTCGCTTTCGGAGCAGATTTGGAGGATGTCTCGAGCGAGGCGCTCATTTCAGCACCCCTAAGGGGAGCCGCCAGGGGTGGTTGCACGGGCTCGTTCGCGGCCATTTTGTGGGGATGTCTCAGGCGGTTTGCCTGTTTCTGTGCCCAACATCCTTCGCTTTCGGAGCAGATTTGGAGGATGTCTCGAGCGAGGCGCTCATTTCAGCACCCCTAAGGGGAGCCGCCAGGGGTGGTTGCACGGGCTCGTTCGCGGCCATTTTGTGGGGATGTCTCAGGCGGTTTGCCTGTTTCTGTGCCCAACATCCTTCGCTTTCGGAGCAGATTTGGAGGATGTCTCGAGCGAGGCGCTCATTTCAGCACCCCTAAGGGGAGCCGCCAGGGGTGGTTGCACGGGCTCGTTCGCGGCCATTTTGTGGGGATGTCTCAGGCGGTTTGCCTGTTTCTGTGCCCAACATCCTTCGCTTTCGGAGCAGATTTGGAGGATGTCTCGAGCGAGGCGCTCATTTCAGCACCCCTAAGGGGAGCCGCCAGGGGTGGTTGCACGGGCTCGTTCGCGGCCATTTTGTGGGGATGTCTCAGGCGGTTTGCCTGTTTCTGTGCCCAACATCCTTCGCTTTCGGAGCAGATTTGGAGGATGTCTCGAGCGAGGCGCTCATTTTCACCCCCCAGGTGGGCCAGATTTTGAGGATGTCTCGATCGGTTTGCTAGTTTTGGTGGCCAGGCTCGTGGGCGCAGATTCTTCTCAGGATGCCACAGGAGGCTCCAACAGGCTCCAGGAGGCTCCAGGAGACCACATGAGGTCCCAGGAGGCATCAGGAGGCCACAGAAAGACTCAAGAGGCCACAGGATGTCCCAAGAGGCTCCAGGAGGCCCCAGGAAGCTCCAGAAGGCCTCAGGAAACCACAGGAGACCCCAGGAGACAACAGGAAGCGCCAGGAGGCCTCGGAAGGCAACAGGAGGCCCCGAGAGGCCCCAGGAGC